TTGCCTGCATGTATGTGAGTGCACCTGAGTCGTGCAATGCTGCGGAGCTCAGAAGAGAGCTTTGGATTCCCCTGGAACTGGACTTAAGGATGGTTCATACCTGCCATGTGGGTGTTGGGAATCTAACCTGGGTCCTCTGCAAGAGCGGTCTGTGCTCTTAACTGCTGAGCCATCTCTCCAGCCCCTGGGCTAAATATTTTTTAATCTTAAAAAATAAATCATGGAGAAGAGCAAACTGATTTCGTGATAGGACTTTCAAGGGCTGATGATTCTATTTCAGGAACAAGAAGCTCTTCCATTGTCCAAATCAAAAAACCTTTTGTGAAATCTTGGCTAGTAGGAAATATCAGCATCAGAAAACAAATACACAGCACAGCACAACACCATGAACAATGAAAACCCAAAGAAAAAAAAGAATGGCCAAGGAACTCTATCTGATACTTAAGGCCTTTCCCAGTGTAGTCTTCCAGCTATCTTCTCGTTCTTCTTGGAGGCTTTTAGCCTTCCACATAAACTAAATCATCTCCTGGGTTCTGAGGCCTTTCAGAAGTAACTTCAAGTTATTTGTGAATTTAGATGACTTTTAGCACAACCTTCCTCCTTTTCCTTAAAAAATGTTTTTATTAATTTGTTGAGAATTTCATGCAAGGTATTTTCATCATATTCACCCCTCCTCCAACTCCTCACACACCCACCCTCACCTCCCTACTCACCTAACTTCTTTTTTTAACTAGCATGTGCAATTTGTGTTGCTTAAATACTCTTGATTGTGTAGTCTGCCCTGGAGTGTGGGAGTGTAGTCAACTTACCAAGGGTTACACCCTTGAAGAAGACTGACTCTTTTTCTCCCAGTGGCTATTAAATGTCAGTAACTGCTCAGCTAGAGTTGGGACATCATGACCACCTCCCCTGCTCCAGGCCTGGATTTTATCTGGCCCTAGGGGACAACCTACTACTAATATTCTGCTAAATGGGCATAGTATTAAAATGAGTTCTAATGACTTATTGCTATACCCATAGATTAAGGCATCTCTCAGTCCTTGTTAGAGAAATTTCTTCTTGCAGTAGATAGTGACTTACACAGAGAACCACAGCTGGGACATCCATCTATATCACACCTTCCCCCTAAGGATGGAGGCAGTCACAGAAGTGGGGGCAGAAAGATTGTAAGAGCCAGAGGTGGGGGATGACTATAAGGAAACAGTGTTTTCCCAGACACAACAGGGCAGTTGGACATGTGAACTCACAGCAATTGTGACAGCATGTGCAAAACTTGCATACGATTTTTTTTTGGTAACTTAAGGAAAGGATTTATTTGAAGAGCATATGACCCATCACAGTGGGGAAAGTAAGGCAGCTGGGATGAGCTTTGTACAAGGTGATGAACTCTGGCTGCACACTGCTTCTTCATATCTGGGTAGATCCTGAAACAGAAAGTGGGAGAATCAGGCTTCCCTTCTTTGGAGAATTTGGGGTTTTTCTGTGAGATCTCTTCATAATTTTACTCTTATTACATTCTTACTTAAGCAGAGTCCTGTTGAAAAGAGAATCTTTATTCTAGAACAAGGGTCAGCAAACTTACTCTCTAAGAAGCCAGGCAGTAAATGCTGAGGTTTTTGAGAATCACCCTATTTTCTTTTAATTTTTTTTTAAATTTAGCTTTTTTATATTTCATACAACAGTTCTTAATCAAATTTAGAGCCCTCCCACTACATACTCCCCACCACATCCCTGACTGAACCTCATGTATTCCGCCATACGTGTTAAATACTATCCAGTCAAGCATTTGTACTCAAATGTCCTTTGGTGCAAATTTATCCACTGAAGACTAGTTAGCCTATCTAGAGATGGTAAGTAAGGTCTACTTTCCTTCACCCAGTAATAATCAGTCTTCAACAGTTCCCAGACTAGGGCCAGCCTGTTGCTCATTTCCCTTGCCCCACTCTGGACCCTTGTCTAATTGAGTTGGCATGGGGCCTGTGTTCAATGCCACCATTGCTACAAGTTCACATGTGCAAGCTCCCAGTGGCCCGAAAGCCTCTGCTTCCCTATGTACATGAACTAGTGCTGGCTCTTATGATTTTTTTGCCCCTCTTCTGCAATCACCCCTGAGCCCTGAGAAAACCCACTGAGTGGGAGAAAATCTTTACCAATTACACATCTGACAGAAGATTAATATCCAGAATATACAAAGAACTCAAAAAACAAAGAAACAATAAAAGAAACGACTTAATAAAAAGACCTATACAGAGTTCTCAAAGAAATAAAAATGGCTAAGGAGCACCTTAAAAAGTGCTCAACATCCTTAGTAATTAGAGAAATGCAGATAAAAGCCACTTTAAGATTCCATCTTACCTCAGTAAGACTGGCTAAGATCAAGAGAATAGAAGATACCAGGTGCTGGCAAAGATGTAGAGAAGGGGAAATGCTCATTCGCTCATGGTGGGATTGCAAACTCATGTAACCACTATGGAAAGCAGTATGGAGCACTCTTAAAAAAACTAAAAATGAACCTACCATGTGATCTAGTGAGATCACTCCTTGGCATATACCCAAAGAACTCATCCTATTGCAGAGACACTTGTACATCCAAGTTTCTTGCTGCTCTTTTCACAATAGCTAAGAGATGGAAGCAACCTAAGTGTCCCTCAATTGATGAGTGGATAATGAAAATGTGGTTCATTTATACGATGGAGTTTTACTCAGCAGTAAAGAAAGATGAAATCATGAAATTTGCAGGTAAATGGATGGAACTAGAAACTGTTATACTAAGTGAAGTAACACAGACTCAGAAAAGCAAGCGATGGAAGTTCTCCCTCATTTGCAGATTATAGCACCAATCCCTTATATGTGAGTATATATCCTAATGTAACACCAGGAGCCAGAAAAATGGAAAGGAAACATGGAGGTAAAGGAAAAGAAAGAACCCGAAAGAAGGGGATATTAGGGAACAGATGTTACTAGGAGGAAGGTGGGGAAAGTGGGAGGGAAAGAGGCAGGGACGTGCAGGGGGCAATGGTGGGGGAGGAGGGAACTCAGAACAAGGGGATGGCAGGAGGCAGGTGTTATTGGAGGGAGGGTGAGGATAATGGGGGCACTTGGACTGGGGAGGGAGGAGGGAGGTCAGATGGGAGGGAGCGAGAATAGAGATGAATGGATCTGGGGGGGGCTAGGGAAGCCAGAGGGAAATGTGTTATCTCTGAAACCCCCTGAGAAATGCACATATGGTGTCTGAACATTAGTGAATATGTATATATGGGGGATATATACATATGGGGGCTGTATGGCAAGGAACATAGTGCCAAACAAGAGAGAACTTCCTTCAAATGGTTGGTTAGAGTAGTCCAAGAGACTCCCAACACAACACAGGTTAGTGCCAAAGCCCCTGGTTATCTACCAGAACTGGAAGATAAGACCCTACTGTGGAAGACAAGACATGTTTCAGGTACAGGGCTTGGAGCAATGGAGCTGGACCTGACCTGGAAGTCTTCTACCTGAAGTTTAGCTCTCATAGTTCTAGAGGATATTATGCAAGTTGCTAAGGGAGAAGATCACCCTGTTTTCCATGGAGTTACTGAACTGTGCCTCAGTGTCAGGAAAGCAGTCATAGGTATTTGTAAATGAAGGTGACCCTTGTTTTGCGTTTTTAAAGAAAACTTAAAATTTTTTTTATAGGTATGAGTGTTTGTCTACATGTATGGATGAATGTTCAGCGCCTGCCTGTTGCCCACGGAGATCAGAAGAGGGCATCAGAGTCCCTGGAACTGGAGTTATAAAAGGTTGTGAGCTGCTATGTGGGTACCCAGGTCTTTTTCGAGAGTGGTCAGTGATCTTAACCACTGCGCTATCTCTCTAGCCCCTGCTTTTCTTCTTGCCATTTAAAATATAAAAACCACTCTTAGCTTGTGTTCTAAAAAGAAAAATAGGCAGTGGTTTGGTCTTTACCAACCAGTGCCCTAGAAGACATATCACAAACTGCAAGGTGGAAACTATGGGGTTGGGGGAAGGGAATGTGACTAAAATTGAAAAAAGACAAAGGACAACCACAATGATAGGAAAGTGGGATCGGTTGCCCTGGAAGTTAGAGCTTCTAGTTTTCTACCAAAGACAGACAAATACCACTGCTTAGGGATGTCATGGGAAGACCCAAATGTCTGATAGGAGACTGGTCTTAATGCTTTGAAGTCGATAGGACTGTCTTTTCGTCAAAATGTTTCTTTTTCCAGATAGCCATCGGTTCCCAATCACTTACTGTCTCCCTTTAAGTTTTACAAGCCTGTGTACTGGTCTTTCACTTCTTCCCATCTAACATTCATTGATACCGTCTCAATATGCTCTCCACTTTTTCTTATGTGTACATCTTATTTTCCTTCCAGAAACCAAGGGGTTAATGTCAAAAGGCCAAGGTTCATTGGGCAGCTGCTGCACTGTTGCCTAGCAACCATCAGGCTCAGCTCAAAATTTCTGCAGAGGCCTTTGTGGAAAGATGGTCTGACCCAACCATTAGGACAGAGTAAAGAGCAAAGGAGCTAGCATTTGCCAACCCATTTTAAGTTATGAAACAAGATTTGATTCTGTCTTACAGAATAGCGGATCATCTTTTATGTCACTAGGGGGAATTAAATTTGCTTTAAGAGATTTCAGTTCCTTTCGGCTCCCCTCCTTTTCCCTAGTGGTTTGGTCCTGCTTCTCAGAACAGCATCTTTCCGCCAAACCTCCAAAGTGGCCTGCTAGGTGTCTCACAGATTATTAGGCCTTTTATGATTTTATTCTTCCCTTTACTTTTCCAGCTCTTAACCCAGAGTGGTTCAATGGCATCTTGCAGAAAACCGTCCCCATTGTGCTCCCTGTACATGACGTGGTTTGTTCCTATCTGCTGAGCATCAGCATCTTTCCCCTCTTCTCTCACACCAGTGATTAGATCCTGCGTCACTGAGCTTCGGATTCTCTTAGCCCCACCCCCGGGGTCCACAGTGGTTTGATCCTACCTCACAGACTTTTAGGTCCTTTCTGCTTCCCCCTCCAGCATCACCATCACCAATGGTATGGTCCTTAGCATCAGGTCCTTTTTGTCCCCCATTGGTCTCCTGAGCAGACCTGAAGCAGCTCCATCACATCCTGATGCATCCTGAGCCCCTCAGTGCCTTGCTCTTTCTTGAGCACTGTGAACTGGATCAAGTTGTTTGAAAATGGTCAGAAGTTGCTCTTGATCACTTCAGACATGAGCAGCAAAAATCATTTCTGACCAGTTAAAATCCATTTGAACTAGTTTAAGCTCATTTTGCAGAGCTGGAGCCTGAGGTGGGTAAACCCAGGAAGATGGCTGAAGACTGCTGACTCAAGCCAAGACAAGGAGCCAGGTACTTACAGAAGTTGAAAATGAGCTGAAAGGGAAGAGCTCAAATAAGGAGACAGGGGAATGCAGGAACAACGGTTGGTTGAGTGAGGGAAGGCTCAGAAGAGGTTAGTTGTACCTGAAGATTATGGGGGATTTTCTTTAGAGGTTGAGAAGTCATTTCCAGGGGGCAGTGTAGGGTTTGGGGCTCTGTGTTAGTGCATTTGGGAGGCAGTATGGGTGCTGACATCATCTAGTAGTCTCATTGGGCTAGAGCTGAGACTGGGTAGTTTGCGGTCTAGTGATGATGGCTGGCTCTGCAGGCCAGCTCCTAGGGACATTCTTTGTGTCTGGCTCACTTCAGCCTGTTTGATAGTCCCGAACTTTGAATGATAACCTTCTCACTCCTTTAACTATGCTAATCATGAGATTATTTAGTTGTTTAAGGATGTTATTTAAATTGGGAGGAGGGGTGACCAATTTTGAAGAAATAACTGATTATAAGAGGTAAGACAAGGTACAAATGAGTGGATTGATTAGAATTGGGTTGAGGGTTTTACTTCTTAATTTTTTTTAGAGGTGGTTGGGGAAGTGCCAGGTTGAGAATAGTACCGATTTCTCATTTGTGAGACTGGTTCTGCTCAGGGCTTGTGGCTTGATGCAGGAACTGGAGTGTATGGTCTGAAATTGCCCCAGGTGCTTATATTCCTGTCCTTTGTGGAGATTGCAGTGGAACGGATAGGGGCTGAGACATGGAGGATGAAAATGACATTTTCACAGACTGCGGCATTTTTGATGTGTGTAAAATCTCTGCAGTGGGACAGTGGGCAGGCCAGTTGCTTTGATGACCAGTGACGTACTGCTGCAAGATCGAGGGTGGGGTTGGAGCTGATTGATGCAGCTGTTTAGGAGGTGCACAGGGCTCTGTGGTTTCTCACCTGCGAGGTAAAAAAGAAAGCTTTCCTAAAATGACACAGAAACTTGGCTACCTGGGAGGGAAGCTGATATTAAAACTGTTTTTTTTTTATTTGAAAAGAACTTGTTAGGATCCTGTGAAAAGAAAGATGTATTTTAGGAAGATGGCTTCAGCCAGCCACTGCCCGTTTTCGCAAAGGGAGGATGGCGGCCATTTTACTGAAAGTAGTTGAGTGGCCTTTGACCTGGGAGGGAAGCTGATATTAAAACTGTTTTTTTTTTTATTTGAAAAGAACTTGTTAGGATCCTGTGAAAAGAAAGATGTATTTTAGGAAGATGGCTTCAGCCAGCCACTGCCCGTTTTCGCAAAGGGAGGATGGCGGCCATTTTACTGAAAGTAGTTGAGTGGCCTTTGCAGGGTTCAGGTAGAGAAGAATCAAGAGATTTAGAGTCAGACAACCCACACTTTGAGTGTTTGCCTTGTTATTTGCTATACGAACCTCGAGCAAATGAATCTTCTAGAGACTTGTTTTGCTGATTTCTAAAATAAAGCTAATATCATCTACTGTAAAGATAAAAACCTTAGAGCTTAATGCCTTCCAGACAAGGTAGCCGCCATTCATCATTTTTATTTCATTAAACTGGATTGTGTGGTAGGGACTGTGTGTGTGTGTGTGTGTGTGTGTGTGTGTGTGTGTGTGTGAGTAATACATGATTTAGCTTGAGAAAGAAAATTTCTTTCTAAATTTTTAGCAGGGCTTTTTCACAAATGAGGCTACTGAACTATTTGGAGACTCAAAGGGAAAAATCATTCACTGAGTATTTACTAAACTATAAAATATAAGTATGACTGTTCGCTATTTCTTTAATAATATGTTGAGTATTGTTCAAGCAGCACTAGAAAAGCCCCAGTATAAAATGTCTTTCAGGGCTGAAGATTCACAGATCTCTCGGATTCCAGATTCACTTCTTCCCCTAGCTCACCCTGGAGCTGTGGCTACTGGAAATCCTGAGATATGGTATGTGGCATCATAAACCACAGGGACCCAAGATGGAGGGTGGGGTGGGCACTGGGGATCTTGTCAGAGCCGTGGGTGTGAATACGGTGGGGGAATCACAATCGGCCCTTCATCCATGAACATGTGGGAATGATCCGTCTTCAAGAGCAGACCAGGTCACTTTCCTTGGATTCTGTTACTAACTGTGGAAAGAGCAGGATCAGGTAAAGGAGGAATAGGAAGGGCAGTGATGTGGTCTGTCAAGAATGTGGCTGTTTAGATGCTGCCATCATGTCCAGAGGGCTGGGGGAAGGAGAGTGGCAGAGCAGAGTGGCAATTTGAAACCACAAAGAAAAATTAATGTAAGTTGGCTACAATATTCTCATTGGGGAACTGTGTTCTGTAGTCATAATTGTGAGCTGAGAAGCGTGGCCTTTTTTTGTTGTTGTTGTTGGCATCAACTGACTAATAGATGGATGTGATAGTTACAGTGTATCTATGCAGCAGTGAGGAGCATGACAATGATGGTCTGTGAACAAGGGGGAGGAAATAGGAACAGGGGAATTGCTCCGCTACTTAGATTCTGAATTTAAAAAAAAATACTACTTTTATTGAGCACCTACTACAATGCCAGATGTTATTTGGATGCTCTTTATGCACATTGCTCATTTGCTCCCCAGAACTGACCATGCAGGTGAACAAACCATTCACAAAGGGTGTCAGTTATTGACTCTTTTTCCCTGGAGCGGGAATTCTCTCACAGTATGGAGGATGAAGACCTGTTCTCTGCAGGATTAGCAGAAGCACATGGAGAAAGGCCTTTCCCTCATTTCAGCTTCCTACTCAGGAGGCCTGGACCTCCTTCGGTCTCTTTGATGCTTTGTGAACAACTGTGATGATGGAAATGAGTGGGTGTAAGGTCTCTCGGGTACACAAGGTAGGAAAAACCTTCAGCTTCACTATTGCAAGGAGACGTCATTTGTAGTAGGCTGCAGGGCTCTGGTACCTGGCTCCAGCTTGGTTTTAGCATTTTAGTTCATGTCTACAGTGGAGATGTAGAATAGTACACTCATGAAGTGGGAAGACAGAACTGGAATGCAAGGGGGAAGAGGCTGGGTGACCAAACCACGAATCTCTGAAGAATTTACTAGACCACAAAGACAATCCAAGACCAACAAAATAAATTTCATAAGAGTAAATGTGACATTTTGTACTAGTGTCATAAAATGATTTTTTTCATCTTTTAAAAATTTATTTATTTATTTATTTATTTTTTACACCCACTTCCCAGATAGCACCCTCCCATAGCCTCCCTCCCCCCACTAGAGCCCTTACACTCTGATATCCCTGCTACTGTCTGCTGTGTTGTCAGCACCCCAGCCATTCCCTACTACTTGCCCTTCTGGTGAATATAGTCAGCCTATCTAGAGGTCTTTGTTTCTGAAGGTCAGCTGTTCCTCATCTAGTAGTAATCAGTTGTCAATATTCCTTTGGCTAAGATTGGGGTCTGCTGTTCATTTTCCCAGTTCTATGCTGGGTTACTGTCTGGGAGTCCCTTTGGGTGCCCTGGCCAACAACTCAAAAGAAGGTATCGCCTGTCTGGCATTGTTGCTTGTTATGTAGCCTTTAGCTATACATATGGGCTTTTAAGAAATTATATTACAAAAATTTTTAAAGTTGCAAGTCTAAAAGACGAGTACATGTTTAAGGTGGCTGCCAAAAAGTGGAAAAGTTACTGTAAACTCAGGTTACATTAATAGTAGTATGGGGTCTAAAATGCAGGAGGTGATTTCTCTACTCTGACCTGCATTTGTAGAACCACACCTCAAGTACTAGACTCAGTTATATTAGTTGTATTTTTAAAAGCTAAAAAGGCAAAATAGAAGCCTGGGGTGTAAAGTAGGGTGTGATTGTTGTCTTCTGGCTTCTTTAGACTTGTCATGTCGAAGAGGACAATTTGACCCCAAGAGGCAGAATTAGGATGACTTGGTGGGAGTTGCTGCAGAGCTGGCTGGAGGAGCTGGGTCAGAAGGAGCATGCTTCTCAGGAAAGGGAGCACTGAAGCAGAAGTTGCCTGCTGTATGCTCAGAACAGACTGGGTTGGCTGGCCTGCCCCAGCCAATGGTGTGGATTTCCACACCAGCATGTTCAAGTATGCTTTCTTAGCCTTAGTTTTGACACATGTAGATCCAATCTGGCCTCAGACTGACTGTGTAGCTGAGGATGACCTTGAACTTCCGATCATCTAGCCTCCAACTGCTAAGTGACAGAATCACAGGAGTAGGTCACCACCCTGTTTATTCAGTGCTGGGTATTGAATACCAGGCTTTATGCATGCTAGGCAAGCACTCCCCCAACTGCATCACACCTCGGGCTTTATGTGTTAGCCTTTTTAATTTGTTTTACAGATGAGAAAACAGGGATAGGTTCTTTGACTTGCCCAAGGCCATGTAGCTGGTGAGTGACCCATGGGAGTGCATCAGAGCCCTGGGGGAGTGTGTGTGTGTCACAGAGTTTTCACCCTTACCTGAGCACTTCTCTAGTTGAGTAACATGCTTGGTACTGCCAGAGGTGAATCAAGACTGTATAAATGCGTCATGCTGGGCTGGGTGCCTGGAGTTGATGAGAGTATCATGAAGATATATGATCAGCCTGCAGCCCAGCGGGTCCTGGAGGATGAGGTTGGAACGCAGCTGAGCTATTACACAGGCCAAATGGCATGAGCGCTTATTCATAACGTCTGTACCTTCCATGGAATGCTGTCCTCCACAGCCGCTTGGAAGGGCACATCTGCAAGATGACACAGAGATCTTCTCTTTAAAGATCAGGAAACTGGTCTAGAGAGGGGAAGGGACATTGCCAGGTTTTCCCACTTAATAATTTTGACCCTGATGGTTTGAGAAATTAATTTTTTAATGTAATCTAGAAAATTTAGGATTCGACCAGATTTGTTTTTGAGGCAGGACCAGTTCCACTGTAAAACTTGTTCCTCTGCTTCAGAGCTATGAGACAGTTTTGCAGTGTTGTGGTTTTGTTCCTCCTGATTATTACAGAAGCTAGCATCATGGAAATGGAAAGGCATATGCTTTAGAGTAGTCAGATTGGGTTTAACTCTTTGCCCAGGGCAAAATCATTAATTGTTTTTTGAGCCTCAGATTCTGTACTTGTGAAAATGGGAACAATGGTTTGATTCTAGCCCCTTAAAGTTGGGGAGGTCCAGGCAGAGAGACCCATGGAGGGATAAGGCTCATAAGAGCGCCCCCATCTGAATGCAAGGCAAAAGGATAGTATAGAGAACCACACACAGGGATGGTATTGCCTAGTCAGAGGGATCAGTGCATACAGTGGCTGCTCAAGTATTTGAGGTTCATAACCATATCAGCCACATTATTCAGTTCTCTGGGCATGACATTTCTAGACGTCAGCCTCTAGATTTAACATGTTTTATAAAAGGATGCTAAAACCAAATTGAAAGCCAATTGGTCTTGGATTCCAGTCTCTTTGTTAGCTGATTTGTCTTTTGAGGACATTGTATTTGTCATTCTTGGTATATGGTGCTCTAAGGCTAAGCACAGTACGCCTGAAATGGGGTGGAATAACAGGAAAATCATCATCTCTTTTGTTCTGGACACCATACTTTTGTTTATCTTTAGATTTCATTAGTTCTTTTTTTGTTTTTATGATTCACCACTGTCTCACATATCTGCGTTTGTGTATATATTAGGACTAAACTCCCTAAGTATTTCAGTAGGCATTCCTGATAAATTATTTTATCTTTCTCAATCATTATGGATATAGTGATTATACATGGCAATGTCTCATGAGCATCCGAAAACTTATAAAAAGGCATGTTCTGGGCCAATCTCTATATCGTTTATTGTAGAAACAATATAATATGACCATTTTTTTAGATAGGGTCTTGCTATGTAGTCCAGGCTGGACTTAAACTTGATTTATAGTCCGGTGTCTTAGTTTGCCTCCAATTGCTGTGACAAAGCACTCTGACCAATACCAACTTGGGAAGGAAGGAGTTTATTTGCTTTACATCTCCTGGTCAGAGTTCATCACCGAGGGAGCCCAAGGTAAGAACTCAGGGCAGGAACCTGGAGGCAGGAGCTGAAGCACAGGCCATGGAGGAATGCTGCTTATTGGCTTGCTCCACTGGCCCGTGCTGGCCTGCTTTCTTATACAATACAGGACAACCCGCCACGGGAGGGCACCACCCACAGTGGTCTGGGCCCTCCTAAGTCACTCAACAATCAAGAAAATGTTCCACAGACATGACCGCAGGCCAGTCCAATGCAGGAAATTCCCCAATTGAGGCTCCCTCAACTCATGTGTGTCAAGTTGACAACTAAAGCTATCTAGCACATCCAGGATGGCCTCTAATTTGTGATCCTCCTACGTCAGCCTCCTGAGTTCTGGGACAGGTATGTGCCTCCATGCTTGGCTTCCAATTTGGTTTTAGGGTATTTTTACTTACACATTTTTTTCCCTTCAGAACTGAGGCTCAAACCTAAGGCTCTGTGTCCTCTATGCAAATGGTTCCACTGAGCTGCATCCACAGATCTTTTTATTTTTGTTTTGAGACAGGGTCTAATTAAATCATCTAGTCTGCCCTTGAAAGAATGAAACCTAGGCTGTGTCAAACTTTCATTCTATTGGCCTCAATATCCAGGAATTATAGGTGTGTGTGGCCACACCAAGTTCATTTGTACACTATTAATTTTTTTTGCAGGATTCCTCAAAGTTTTGTTTATGTGGGTTATCTAATTGATATTTAGCATGATAGAATTGAAGCAGAGTTTTAAAAATTTTTCTAATTCAAAGAACAGTAACAACACAAAGCTGCTCATGAAAACTTACTTACCTTTGAATAGTAAATAATATTTTTCAAAGTAAAACATCTCTGAATTATGTTCCTTTACTTTCTGGTTACTGTCTCTAGTGTCTTAGTTGGTAGGAGCAATGGACTGTCAGGTCTCCTCATTCACTCTTTTGCATATCACACATGGTGTGGCCTCTGAAAAGTGTACTTGTGATGGAGGGAGAGAGAATAAACAGGTAGTTTCTTAATATTAGGTAATTTTGACCCTGTGAATACTCTGACAGGGTTTTGGAGCCCTCAGGGGTCCCTGGGCTATATTGTTAGATTTCCTAAAATAAGTGATGTTGCACGTGACATGATGCACTTTAGCATCAAGTATTTGCTCATTAAAACCCTATTTTTACACAAAGGGAAAATATTGTTCTGGAGATAACACTGGGGATGTGATAAATGCCATTGAACTGTATACTTAAAAAGGATACATTTCAGGTTATGTATATTTTGTCATGATTAAGAGAATCTAAAACACAGATTCTGGATACTCAGTCACCGATGTCCTAATTCAATAGGGATTCAGTGAGGTCCAGACTCTGTTCCGGGAAGCACACCAGGGATTCAGATGCAGGTTGTTTTTGGCAATGCTCTGAGAAATATAGTTCTTTGGTCTGGAGAAACCCCAGTCCTCCCAATTTTTGTCCCCGACAGTGACCAGCACTAATTTCCCTGCTGCCTTGCTGACCTGCAGAATGCAGCTGTGAGATGGTGTATCAACCAGCACCAGTGTGGAATGGAGAAGGTAAGGGCATTTGCTCCTTGTTTTTCTATTTTCTGGAAGTTGCATATGTACTCTAGACTGGCTTACCTGTGTTGAGAAGGAGCCCGCACTGGGAGCTGGAATGATATGGTGCACTCAGTAAGGGTCATTCATGATGTGTGCGTGGTACCTGTCCAGATGATTTCATGCACCATCCACCAAATAAGTTTTTCAATATGTTAGAGAGTTTTTCAGAATACTAAGGTATAAAAAATGGAAGAAAATGTAGGTGACTACATTATTTCAGCTTTGTATAAACTAAAATCAGAAAAGGGAAAGGTTACATATTTGCATATGTAAATTTTAAGAAGTACAAATATAAAAAATCAAAACACAAGTGGTAGTCTGGACCCTGACAATACCAGATATAGGAGACTACATCACTTCTTCTTTGGTTAGGCTAAATATATGATGTGACAAAGGGGAAAGGTTAGATGTTTGCATAATAAAAATGTCAAAACCTCTATTAAAACATGAACAAAATTAAAATGCAAGTGGTAGTCTGGACACTTGGACAATACTATGATAAATATAGTCTGTCCTTACAAGAACTTCATATTTGCAAAATCGCTCATTTGCTGCAATTCAGTGATAAAGCCAAGATCAGTCCTTCCTGTAGTTTTGTAGTCATTTTGGGAATGAGCAACAACTGGACGTTTACGGTGCTGCTCTGTAGGTTTCTAGCTGAAGCCAAGTTCTGACATTTTGTTTTAGCTCTTATGGTATAAATAAGGACCACTTCATGGCATGGTTAGCATCACACTCCCATATTTTAGGATTTCACTCTTCAAAATATTCTGAAGTATAGCTCTAGCTAGCACATCTGAGCTTAAAAAGGTTGGGACATGCCTTACAGAGAACCTATGCATGTCCCATAAGCGTTAGGCACTCAGGACAGTGCTGCTGCTTGTGATTTTGGTATTAATGAAACAAATATATGTGATATACGTGCTATGGGTCAGTGTTTACCATGATTTATCAAACATATTAATAACAAGACTCAGTTGTATAGAAGTATGATTATCATCTAACATGCTGAATACACAAAATGCAGACACATTGATGAGATAAACAATGTGATCTCAATCAAAAAGCAAGCAAGAAAAAATAGATAACTAACAGAAAAGGGCAAAACAATCTGTGCATGTCAACATTCTAGAAACACTCTTCCACTTTGCTAATAATAAAGAGATTCAGACTGAAGCAGCAATGCCAGGTTGATATATTGCCTATCATATCAGGAAGCCATAGAAAAGGTTCAATACTCTGCTATGGTATTCACATTCTTGTGCAATACCAGTGGCTTAAATCAGCACAGCATCTTAGGGAGTGACTTAACACAGACTACTGTGCTAAGACCTGTAAACATTTAGTATTTCACCTGGAGGGATAGTGCAGCAGTTAAAGGCTAAGGCTAACAACTAAAACATGAAAAAAATGTAGGATTTCATGAGTGAGAAATTCGAATTCTAAGTATGAATTCTGAGAAACATGTTCAGATAAAGATTTATGCACTTTCAAAATAATGTTATTTGTTAAATGAAAATAGAAATATAGAAGTGCTCACGAATAGAACATATTGAACATATAACGTGTTTTATAGATAGAAACAGGATTGAAAGATGTACAAAATCATTAAAATAGTTTCAAAGAACAGCTAATTGCATGAAAACCATTTCTGACTTGATCAAAATAAAGCAGATGACATATGAGTTAAAAATTAAATTACACTGGAATTATATGTACCAACGTAGGTCAAGTTGAGATTAAAGCACATTTTATTGTATGCATCTTTAAGTCTAATCAGGGCATAGAAGTTAAAGGAACTTCTTAACCTGCTTTTCAGTAGCCATCTACTTCTCCCTTGTTTGAATGGACATGTTTTAGGAGGTGGGATAATGAGTCAGAATTGGGAATGGAGTCTTTCTGGACTGGACCAGACTGGGAAGGACAGACTTACCTTTGGCAACACTGAGAAAGGAAAGATTCATTCAGACTTTTGTGAAAACAGATCAACTGGCCCAGGTCTTGGAAGGCTTCAAGAAGAAGATGACATTGGAAATGAGTCGTAAAGGATATGTAGAACTGTAAGGTGGAAAATACAGGGTAAGTATTGAGCTTTATAGTGTCCAAGTGACAATGATGTCACTCTAGACTGTGAAGTCAATGCCTTTAAGAGGCATTGAAAGTGATTCTTCTTTGGAATACATATACCTAGAATTTTCTAGTACTTTCTCCCAGGGTTCAGGTAAGTTTTTATGTTCTACTGATCTTATCTTGATTTCAATAGAGAATATAAACACAGAAACATTTCACAAATTCTATACCATTTGATGAGTGGAGTATGTAATGTGGAGAATGGTTTAAGAGTAGTGGGGTATTGAGGCAATATCAGGGATAGAATGAGAAAGAAACAAATCTTTGTTGAGTATTTGTGAATTAGAACAGTATTTATCTCATTTAATTTAGCTTAATGTACTTGGCACCATAAAGTAGGCGATCATTCATCCCTGCACTACTCCCAACTTCATGTACTCTTAAAAAAAGTAACCCATCTAGTCCAGTTTTGTGCTGTTTATATACTTCTGGGTATGGGGCCATACACTGGAGCATGGTCGACTTACCAGGGACCACACCCTTAAAGAAAACTGATTCTCACTCTTCCAGAAGCCAGCTGTCCATAGTTGCTCAGCTGGTGGGGTGGGGCTCATTAATACCTTCTCCTGCCATGTTAGAATACCGATTGGCTTGATCTTGTGTAGGTCTTGTGCAGCCATCCACAGCTGTTGCAAATTCATGAGCAGTTCTGTCATGTCCAGAAGATACTGTTTCACTCCCATCTTCCCCAACCTTTGGTTCTTAGAACTTTCTGCTCTCTATTCTGTGATAGTCTCTGACCCTTGGGGAGTGGGTGTGATATGTGGCTGAGCACTTGGCAGTCATTTATTCTCTGTAATTTGACCAGTTGTGAGTTTTTCTGTTAGCCACCATCCACTTCACAAAGAAACTTCTCTGATGAGGTCTGAGGGCTTCATTAATCTATGAGCTGAGAGATATGAATTTAGAGGGCAGTCTGATACTATGTCCATTTTGCCTGTGAGCTTTCTAACCATGGGTTTTTGGCCAGATTTGCAGTACCAGGCATGTGTTTTATCCTGTGGAGCAGGCCTTAAATCCAATAAAAAGGGGATTGGTTAACCCTATAATATTTGTGTCACTATTGCCTCCATGGGCATATGTTGCCACAAAAGTCATTATTACAGATCTCAGGGTTAAGAGCTGGGTAACATCCTGATAACTTTTTTTCCCTTAGCAGCCTATATCTAGTAATGTGAAAGCTAGCCATCAGGGAGGAGGCTTCCTAGTCAGTACCAACTTGATTTAGCCATGTCCTATGACCGATAACACAAGAAACTTTTAATAGTCATTGCATTCAGAGAGGAGAAATGGTTAGAAGTGGGACAAACACTTTCTTTTTTAACTTTAAAAAAATTATTGAAAATTTCATACATGCATATAAGGTGTTTTGATCAACACATACCTACTCTGTCCCCTCCATCTCCTCCCATATCTCCCCATCACTTTTTCCTGAACAACTTCATGTAATCTTTCTTTTTTTATGGGGCTTTTTGCTACTCTAAAATTTCACCCCTCTGAAGAGGTAACCCTAAAATCTTTTAGGGATTAGATAAG